ATATATATAGAGAGAGAGAGAGAGAGAGAGAGAGAGAGAGAGATCTTTTTCCTCTTTTCTCCTTTTCCCTCCTTCCCTCCTTGTCTCTCCCTTTGCCACTCTCTCTCTCTCCATTCCGGGCCGCCCGCTTGTCCTCCTCGGCCTCTCCCCGCGTCACACGACAATGCCCAGCAACAATTAAGCTCAGATGGATTGGATTTTGCATTTAACTAAAGCGCCATCTTGTGCTGCAGTGCAATCTAGTGGTGTTACAACAAAATGAACAGCATAAAAACCTTCTCCAGAAGAAAAAAAACACGAAGATGGCCAACTTTCATTGAGATCGGCCAAATGGTGTCGGAGGTTATCGATCTCGAACAAACCAATATCTATGCATACATAGATGAAAATGACGATAACGTCCACCTACCTCAAGCGTGTTTATATCAGGCAGGTACTGCGGCACCGCGAGGTAGCTGGTGAGCGAGCCCTGGTAGGCGTTGGTGAGCACGAGGCTGAAGAGCGCGAGCGCGCACCAGAAGGCGCGCTCGGGGAAGCCCCGCGCGGGGCGCGCGGCCGCGCCCCACAGCAGCGCGCGCAGCACCTCCAGCGGCGGCGGCGGCGGCGCGGGGCGCAGCGCGCGCGCTGCCAGCGCCGCCCCCGCCAGCGCGCCGCCCGCCGCCGCCCACAGCGCGGGCGAGAACGGCTCCGCCAGGTTGCGGTAAGCTGGCACCCGACCCGCCTACAGGCCCATTCGCAATGCGAACGCAAACATAAGCATAACGCATGCACGTCGACATTAACATAAGTGATAGACAATAAGTACAGTATGTAAACGTAAGCAAAGTAAGGGTTTCTATTGGCTGTGAGACATTCTCTTTTACTATTGGTTGAATGTTTGAATCGATTTTGAGGTATCGACTGAGTCCATAGCCCATGGTACATGCCGTTAGTTCGACTATCGACTTCGATCCTATTTCGATAGTCGATTTTGAGTTAACGTATTGCGATTGGTTCATTTCTAATGTCTTACTTATGCATAAGCACTGAATCTTGCAAGGTTGTAAGTTAATGCTTTACGTGTTATGCTTATGCGATCGCATTGTGAATGAGTCCGTAACGTAGTCCTAACTTTTATGTTGACGCCATGCTTATGTTTATGTTTGCATTGTGATTGGTGATCCGGCTGCGGGCAATGCAGCAGAAATATCGGTCGCTCGCTACTGGACGTGTGCTAGCAAAATCGTCCGACTTATTTCATCCGAAAAACACTCGAAAGTTGCACCCGAAATCGGCCGAATATTCCCACAATTCCGCATTCATGGTTTGAAACATTTGCAAACAGCCTCAAGAAGATATACATGGATTGCAGGTAGTCTTGGTATTACAGATGGCCTTGGTTCTCCAGCGAATTTCGAGCAAATGAAACCGAGAAAATCGAATGCCAATTCATCCCGGCCCCATCGGAAGAGACCGATCGGGTTCAAGATGCGACAGTCACAGTGAAGCCGATTTTTATCGAAAGTTCGGTCGTCCGGCTACCGACGATTTTGTCCGATGTGTCGGATTCGCTCAAACTCTTATTAATGTTTTAATTGATTAAATGGTCGTAGTGAATCCGAACGTCCTTTACCGATGGCATCCTAAAACATCGGCCGTCGGATGAAGATTTCGTACACGTTATTAAATAAAATTTCATATATATTTTTTACATTACATTTTATAATATAAGCATTTGTGGACACAAATGATCTCTTACAAAAAATCTCAAAACATTTCTTTTGCAAATGGTTTCAAACTGATCGTGATAATGGCGGATCGTGATTTCATGAAAATTAATGAAGTAATGACATCAAAACATCACACAATAGTTATAGGGTAACGTACGCAAATAAGGCCGATCGAATAATTGGCGTATGAACGCAATGAATTAGAGAAATGACTTCCTTTGACTACTCGAAAAGGCTCAAAGAAGTCTCTAGACTTGGCATTCCAAATCTTCGTTCACAAGAAAACACCTATGTTCAGATTATCGAAAGTGGCGTTTATCTGCCGGTGGGAGGTAGATTATTTCGCGCTTTACCTTGGGCGCCGTGACGCAGAGCGCGTTGCCGCCGTGCGGGTAGGTGAAATGCAACGCGTCGCGCCAGTCCAAGCGCACGTAGCGCGAGTTGACCACCAGCTGCGCGCGCCGCGCCGCCGCCTCCAGGGCGCACCCGCTGAAACTGCCGTTCTCGGAGCGAGTGCCCAGCTTGCGATCGTCTGCGGGCTCCGAAGCCTGAGGAAGTAGGTGTGTCACTGGTGTTTTTTTCTCTTTTCTCCCCCCCCCCCATTTTATTTCTGTTCTAATTGAACCGGATAAGGTGGGTCAGGGTATCAATTGAAGTACTTCTGACAGGGGTTCGAGTCACGACGGTGGCGGGATTTTCGACAGTAGTTAGATAGCTATGTCGAATTCAGCCGCTTTCTAGAAGATATTTCAAGCGGCCGATTCCTCTGATCGGTACTTCTCCATGATTTCTCCGATTAACCCCAGGCGAATGCCGGAGCAGTACCGTAACAAACGGGCCAGGGACAGCTCGGTCTTTCCTTCCTCTTGCTTGTCCTATCCTCAGCCCTCACTTACACCCCCTTCATGCGCTACACTACCACATTAGAGCTTGTACCGGCTGTAGTACTCTTCTGGTAGGAGATACCTGGTTGAGGAAAACCTCGCTAACCGGCGTAGGTTGGCGCCGGATATCGCCATCCATCAGGGGAAGATCACTGCCACCTCTCGCGATAAACCATTCACTATACTTACAGGACTAATGACCTTGACAGTTGATCCTACAGGAGACCCTGGCGTGT